ACGTGTATTACGTAAGTTACGTGTAGCAGCGACGTGCGTTACGTAAAGCAGCCTTACGTAAGTTACGTATAGCAGCTTTACGTAAGTTACTTATAGCAACGACGTGCGTTACGTGTAGCAGCCTTACGTAAGTTACGTATAGCAGCGACGTGCGTTAAGTACGGCAGAATTGATAACGGTAACTGAATTTAGCTTAGCTGTGTTTCATATTTAATTCGAGCCGACCCTTTCCGAAAAAAGTTCAATAGATTAATATAAAATAAAAGTCTTAGCACGCTTAGAAATCCTATCAGATCGGTATAGAATAATCTTACGTGATTAGATGACTAACTACCACAACTATTAAATAACTAATCACCACAACTACTAGATGACTAATCACTACAACCACTAGAATTTATCTTAAGTCACCGTTAGTAACAATTAAATACTTTTAAAGCGCGAGCTAAATAAATATCGTAAACATTAGTTTATAATTCGAAAGTGCTTTGCGCTTAAGTTAATATTAAAATAAAAGAGTTAAAAGGCTGCAAAAGCTATATTTAAGCGTAGCATGATCGCTATATATTAGATTGCTTCTAAGCGATTAAGAATATATATTCGTAAAGTCGTAACGGTCGTTAAAGTACTTGCAATTGCAAAACACTCGGTTGATAAAGTATCTGAATTCTAATTGCTCTTTTATACTCAAGGGAGCTGACTCCTTTTATATAATTAAAAGGAGTCACGTGCACTAGCTAGTTAATAGGCCTACTTGTCAAGTTAGGGTCCTTTAACTGCTAACATGCTAAGCGAAGCATGCCAAGTGGCCCGTAAACCATAGTTCACGAGTAAGCTTCCTTAATTACTACTACTACTACTATTAGCTAGCTAAGGTCGATATGGATATACCGACACCGGCAACTCTCTTTTTAGCAAGCAGTGCTTTGCCAATTATTATATCGACCGAAAAAGAAGGAAGGTAATTAAATAAAGAAAAAATCACTCTACTAAACTTCACTCTCCTTTCTTTCATAGCGGCCTTTCCACCTATCCGTCTACTTGCACCTTTAAGGTATTGGTCAAAACTAGCTCTTGCAAAGAAGTATTAACCTCGACTTTAGTTATAGCGTTAGCAAGGTTAGACTTTCCTCCGATCTAGCGTACTTTAAAAAGCTCTCGCTTCTCGTATGATTCCCGAATAGCTATGATATCGATTATTAAGCGCTTCTTTTTAATAGTCCTTAGCTTTACTATGCACTCGTAAAGCGAGTAAGAGTTAATGCATATAACCACGAAGAAATTAAGTATTCTTAGCTAAGCTGTGATTTAAGCAAAGGTGGTCGATATAGCAATAGCTATATCGATACTTAAAAACATAGCGTATAGCTTAAAGGCTAATACTGCTTTTGTTACTCTTTTGCACTTTTATAACACTTAATAAAAGATATTATTCGTTAAAGTAAACTCGTTCTCACTTACGTAAGCCTTATTGCTAAAGATAGCTACGAAACCGATCTAAGAGCTAAGGTTAGCGTTGTTAGCAAACGCTCTATTTACAAACATAAAGAGCTTCGCCGTCTGTTGGATTGCTTCTAAGCGATTGGGAATATATATTCGTAAGGTCGTAACGGTCGTCAAAGTACTTGCAATTGCAAAACACTCGGTTGATAAGGTATCTGAATTCTGTCTGCCCCTTAAGACTCAGGGGAGCTGATCCTTTTTATATGATTAGAAGGAATCACGTGCACTAGCTAACTAATAGGTTTACTTGTCAAGTTGGGGGGGTCCCTTGACTGTTGGCATGCTAAGCGAGGCATGCCAAGTGGCTCGTGAACTATGGTTCACGGGTGGGCTTCCTTAACTACTACTACTACTACTACTAGCTAGCTAAGGTCGATATGGATATACCGACACCGGCAACTCTCTCTTTAGCAAGCAGTGCCTTGCTAACTATTATATCGACCGAAAAAGGAAGGTAATTAAACAAAGGAAAAACAATCTCATCCTTCCTTCTTTTACAGCGGCCTTTCCACCTATCTATCCACTTGCACCTTCAAGGTATTGGTCAAAACTAGCTCTTGCAAAGAGGTATTGGCCCCGACTTTAGTCATAGCGTTAACAGGGTTAGATTTTCTTCCGATCTAGCGTACTTTAGATAGCTCCCGCTTCTCGTATGACTCTCGAATAGCTATAATATCGATCATCAAGCGCTTCTCTTTAGTAGTTCTTAGCTTTATTATATACTCGTAAAGCGAGTAAGAGTTAGTGCACATAACCACGGGGAAATTGAAGATCTTTAGCTAAGCTGTGATTTAAGCAAAGGTAGTCGATATAACAATAGCTATATCGATACTTAAAGACATAGCGTATAGCTTAAAGGCTAGTACTGCTTTTGTCACCCTTTTGCACTTCTGTGACACTTAATAGAAGATGTTACTCGTTAAAGTGAACTCGTTTTTATTTACGTAAGCTTTATTGCTAAGGATAGCTACGAAACCGATTTAAGAGCTAAAGTTAGCGTTGTTAGCAAACGCTCTGTCTACGAACACAAAGAGCTTCGCCGTCCTTAAGTTTAAAAGCACGTAATAGATCCTTTAAGTTAAGTGATCGATCAGCTATTAGATCACTTTATTAAGGGCCTTGTAATCTTCGTCTTTCGGTTCTTGGTGCTAAGCAGCTATTAATAAAGCACAAGATGCTTTTGGATAGCAAATAATAGCTAAATACGCTTTTCGGGCACGTTGCTTTAAGTACTCTTTAGCCCGTGTGGCTGAATCGAGCTTGATTACCGCAAGCCTTTTACCTTGCTTTTTTTGCTTAACTGATAGTCCGAACCCGTCTTTATTTAAAGATAGCTTATATCTATTGAAAATCATTAGCTCGGCGTGTGTAAAGATCTTTATTTCTTTGCTCTTTAGCTTAGATTTGACCAGCTCTTTCTCTTCTTTTGCTCTTATAGCTGGATTGACAATTATAAGAACATTATCCGTTTGTAAAGCAGTTATTTTTAACTGATCTTTATTAGTTGATATAAAAAAGCAAAAATCAAAGCTCGATTGCTTTATCTCGAGGTTGTCCGTGAAATGCTTTAAAAAACGCTTATATTAGTGCGTTTTTGCTTCGAGGATCTTATATAAAAAGCTAGTCATAAAGAACAAAGTGCCGAAAGGGAATCGATAAGTAATCTCTTTAAGTAGTCGTACGACGATTATTTAGATGAGCTTCGTGCTTAATTAAGTATAAGCTTAAGTGATATCTTTGCTATAGACTTGATACTTATAGTCTTTTATCAGCAAAAGAGCTAAAGCATAATAGAGTCTTTGACTCGCTCGCTGTACCGTAAAGGACTCGGTGAGTACTTTCGTCTTGCTCTTATCTTAAAAGGCTTAGACTATTATACGAGACTTCTCGTATAGCGTTAATGTTCCTTTGCTCTTGATCTTATTAACAAACTTAGATCCGAAGATCTTAGCGCTTTTAGCGCGTAAGTCGATGCTTAAGATCATTTAAAAGATGCTTTAAGCTATTAATCTAGCTAATTCTTTTGCTTTAAACTCTTGAAATAGTGCTTTAAAGCTTTTAATAATCTTTTCGGCGCGCAGCTTAGCTAAGAGCTTATAGTCTCGGCGTTCTTTGTCGGTAATCAACACTTCGGAGTCTTTAATAAATAGAACGTAAGAATCGTCCTTTTTTTCGTCGAGCACGGTCGGGATATTAAGATCGTACTTTTAATAAGGTATTTAGACTATTAGTATTATTGACTTTTAAGAATTAATAAGTTGAAGGTTAAGAAAGCTGTTTGCTAATCTTAACGACCTCGGTGGATTAAGCGAATATTAAGGTTTAAGCGACTTTCGCGGTTCTAGCTCTTTTTCGCTTTCGCTTCTATCTTTTTATTCTTCCGCTTCTACTTTAAGTACTTGCAACTCTTCTAGCAGCTTTTTAACTTTAAAGTAATAAAGTTTTATTAAGGTTGACTTGAATTCCGTAAGTCTCGGACATATTACTGTGCACGTATGCCTTTGCTTATTAAGCAACTGAAAAAGGCCCTTTTACTTTTGGTTTTCTCGCCATACGAGTACTCGTGAACTAATAGAAAGGTTTAGAATATGCTCTGTAATTGGGCCATTCTTCTTCTTAAGCGCGTCCTTAACTTGCTTCGCAACGTAGCATTTTCGTACTTCTTTTATAGCTTTGTTAATAGCAGCAGTACGCTCTTGAATAGACGCGGCAGATCGATCTTGTTCCGTCAGCTTTAATAAAGTCTTAAAAACGAAGAGTATAAGAACCAAGCTATTAAGTCTAGTTATGTCGTTGATAGCTTTTATAGCTATTTAAAGCCGGTCTTCTTTTAAGGCTTTTAAAAGCTCTTTTATAACGATCTTAAAAGCGCGTCGCACAAAGACGTAATAGCGTTCTATTAGCCCGACGCTATAATAAGCTTTTACAAGCATTTGCTTTAAAGTGCTGCTAATACTTTTAAAGTAGCTTCGGAACGTTGCTGAATTAAAGTTGGTTCCGAGATCGTGTACGACGTTTATAAAAGGTCCGACGTAAGTATTGACTTAACATCGACTGAATCTTTTAAATAAGTGTTATGCGGATATGCTTTTAAAGAAAGTAGCGGCTTGAAAATTAATAGAATCGTAGACGACGTGCAATACGTTCTTGCCGTCAAGGTGCATTACGTCTACGTATACTGTATTATTAAAGTCAGTATCATCTTTAAGCTTAATATTAAACTTTTTCGAAGAGCGTTCGAATACTTAGCAGTAGTAGCAAAACTTTTAAATATTGTAAAGCAAATCTCGTTTGAATTCGTGCTCGGCCTTCTTAAGAATAGCAGCAAATCGACTTATTAAAAAGTAGCTAAAACGCTTATAAATGGTCTTTAATTACTTTTCCGTAAGGTAGCAGTAAACGGTCTCGCCTTCGGTGCTATAATAAATAATAGCGCGCTTTTTACTTAATAGCATCTATACGTGTTCAAACATCTTCACTATTAGTATTTCCTTTTTCTTTTAGACTAGCACGTTTCGTAAGTTATCTAAGATCACTTTATACTTATTTATATCAGCTAATAAAAATAAGAAAGGTACGTCGCTCTTTATAACGTAGAACTCTATTTAACTTAAAGGAGTATTTAAAGTAACTGCTTTAATAAAAGTAGCAGAGCCGATCCCGTATTTAACGGACTTCTTTTTTGCTCGGGATGTATCTAGTTGGACTTCAAAGTACTTCTTTTAAAGTGCTTTTAATTAAGGCAAGCTAGCGATAAAGAAATTAGCTGCTCCGCTATCAATCATAAAGCTTATGAATACGTTTTTAAAGTACTTAAAAGCTATATAAGTCTTTGTCTTGCTCGTAAGCACACGCGGATCTTGCTCGAGCATCTTTTAAGTTTCTACTTAGCTAGTAAAAGCGTAGAATGCCGTCTGAATCTTTAGCTGCTTATATACTTCGTTAGCGTCAAAAGTGCCGTAGATAGTCATAAAACCTTCCGATATGTTAGCGTAGCTGCTCGATTCGAGCGGCTCGTTTAGTAAGCTTACGATGAACTGATCGAATTCTTTCGTAGATATAAGTAGCAAGCTTTCAATCGATGCTACGTATTAAAAGAATTTGCTTTTCGTTACTTTTTTTACGTCTTTTAAAGCTTAGAACTTAGCGACGGATGCTTTTCTTTCGTCGGAGGTATAGTTGGTGCTTTAGCAACTTAGCTTTTTGCAAACAAAACACTTTTTCTTACTTTTAATAATAGTTTTAGCAGCTTTTTTACTTTCGAAGTATTAGCGATCTTGAATAAAGCATTCGTATTCCTCGTCCAAATCGGAGTCAGCTTTTAAGGCGTGCTAAAAGCAGGTATGATCGTGTGGCTCGCTAGAGCTCGCGTAAGCTCTAGCTTTAGCGAGAGGTCGAGAGGTCTTAATTGCAAACGCAATAGCTCTGCGAATATCGGTAACTACGGCGGTAAAAGTAAACGCAAGGTTCATTCGTACAATCGTAATCTTTAATACGTTCTTACAAGCTAAATACAGCTTGTTAGCAAGACTTCGATCGTCTTTTAAACTTAATCGTAAAGAGCCTTGAATGCTTTTAAGCTTTTTAGCGAGCTTTTCAAAGCACTCGCTAAGCGAGGTCCTTAGATTCTTTTTCTTGATTAAATCTAGCGAAATTTCTTTTTAACGGTCGTATTTTGCTTGCCGCCGGTAGTCGGTCTCGAAGTAGTCTTTTATAATAATAGCGTTTGCTTTAAACGTCGGAAGCCTAGCTTTAATGACGTGATTATAATAAAATGTAATAGCTTCTTTCGTAAGCATAATAAAGAACGCCGTTAAGTAATCGTCGGAAGTTAAACCGTATCGACTTGCTTAGTTAACAAAAATCTTTAATTAAGTCTTGAAGTCATCGTCGAGTCTCGAATACTTTAGCTTTTTAAGAAAGCTTTTTGCAAATAAAGCTAACTCTTTTGCTCTTAAGTAAAGGTCCGTTGCTTTAAGCTTAAGGAAGTCGTCTTTATCATCGTTAAAAGCGCTTAAAGTGCCGTACGCAAGCGTGCCGTGCTTAACTAATAGTCGGATCGATAAAGGGTTACCGATATAGTTGCCGGTGGTCCGTCTTCTTTTAAGGTCTTTAAGAAGCTTATTTCCGGATCCGGGGTCCTTTAAAGGTCCGTTTCCGAATCCTTTTAATAGTCTAAGAAGCCTGTTCTTATTCTTTTCGTATCCGTAGCCTCGATCTTTTTGCTAATCTCTCCCGTTTCTTTTTTGTCGGTTATCGTTAAGATCGTTAAGGCTATTTAAGTCACTAGCTAAAGCTTTAGCTTGGTGATATCCGTACTTTTAAGCGCGTTCTTAACGATTCTCATACCTTTAGTATCTCTTTTATCGATACGTAGCTTGTTAAAGGATCTAGAGAGCTTGTCGGTACGTTTAAAAGTGCTAGATCTCTTCTTCGAATTGCTGAATTCTCTTTTCGAGTTGCTAAAGTTAGGCACGGAAATCTATACGCTGTCTTTAGTAAGAGCTGATTTTGTCCGGAATGCTTTTAGGTTTTAGCGGGTCTTCTTTTAGCGTATAGCTCTCGTGGCTTCGAGTATTGTCTAGTCCGCTAATGATCTCAAGACCTTTATTATTATTGCTACTAAGCCCAAGCTTTTCAGAAAACTAAGTATAGCTCTTAAGAAAAAGGTTTAAGGGCCGCTAAAGTGATTTTAGCTCTTATATGATTAGCGTATTGCGTAACGATTGATGAATTAAAAGCGTCGAATACGCTAAAGTGCTTCGTCGTAGCTCTTCGTTAGATTGTATAGCGTAAGTTCGTAATTCCGCTATTTACCTTGCTATAGTCTTTATATTTCGTTTTATATCGTTCTTTTCTTTTAAAAACTCTTTTCGTAACCTTCGTATCTCTTCCTTTTCTTCTTTCTTGCTTAAAGTCTCTTTTTCCTTTTTTTTTAGACTGCGCGAAAGTGGAAGTGGTTGAGGTGTAATATCGTCGTCGTCGTCGTCCGTAAGGTTTTCGACGGTCCACTTTAAATCGAAGCTTAAAAGTGTTGCTTGTTGCTTTCTTATTTCTTAGAAGGTCTATTAGTGTTGCTGCTTATCGTTTAAGAGCTTGACCATCTTATTAGCGTAGCCCTTTTGCTTTAAAAGGCACTATACGCTTTTAGACAGCAAGTGTTCTTTAAAGCTAATAAAAGTAGTAAACTTAAGGCTTCGTCTCGTATTGTCTTTCGTTATCGTAAAACTTGTCTAATTTTAGCGTGAGAAAGCGTGCCGGAATAAGCTTTATAAGTCGTAATCCTTTAGCCTTCTACACTTTGCGTTTAAGAAGTCCTTTACTATTGCTCGAGCCGTAATCTTATTATCGAGCTTTGCGTATAAGAGCTCGTTTAAGTTAAATGAAATGCCCGACATCTTATCGTCTGGTCCTTTCGAAAGGCTTGAGAGCTTTAAGTATAGTGTTTCTTTTAGCTGAATAGCTAAGGGTTCCGTAAGTGGTGATAAAATTCGAAGGGTATAATACTTTGCTCTTTGTCGGCTAGACTCTTTATTCGGAAGTCTAGTTGCTCGGTCGGCTATAGTTGTTATCTGTTTGTGTGTAAGTCGATTTAAATTTAGTTGAGTTGTTATATATAGCAAGCGCGGCTTTTACAGCGTTAAAGTTGTTGTTTTGAAAGTGACTTGGTTCGGAATCATTCTTTCGTAAGAATAAGGAAAATCGGTAGTATAAAAAGCGACTTAGTACGGAATCGCTCTTCCGTTGTAAAAGAAAGAGGTATCGTATTGAAAGGTATCTTCGCTATAAAGTCCTAGCTTCTTTATGATTGATCACTTAGTAGTAAATCAACTATTGATCAGTGTTAGATTGCTTTTAAGCGATTAAGAATATATATTCGTAAAGTCGTAACGGTCGTCAAAGTACTTGCAATTGCAAAACACTCGGTTGATAAGGTATCTAAATTCTGTCTGCCCTTTAAGACTCAAGGGAGCTGATCCCTTCTATATGATTAGAAGGAATCACGTGCACTAGTTAACTAATAAGTTTACTTGTCAAGTTGAGGAGGTCCCTTGACTGTTGGCATGCTAAGCGAGGCATGCCAAGTGGCCCGTGAACCATGGTTCACGGGTGGGCTTCCCCAACTACTACTACTACTACTACTAGCTAGCTAAGGTCGATATGGATATACCGACACCGTCCTTAAGTCTAAAAGCACGTAATAGATCCTTCGAATTAAGTAATTGATCAGCTATTAAATCACTTTATTAAAAGCTTTATAATCCTCGTCCTTTAGTTTTTAATGCTAAGCAGCCATCGATAAAGCACAAGATGCTTCTAAGTAGCAAATAATAGCTAAATACGCCTTTCGAGCACGTTGCTTTAAGTACTCTTTAGCTCGTGTAGCTAAATCGAGCTTGATTACGGCAAGCCTTTTATCTTGCCCTTTTTGCTTAATTAATAATCCGAACCCGTCTTTATCTAAAGATAGCTTGCATCTATTGAAAATCATCGGCTCGGCGTGTATGAAGGTCTTCATTTCTTTGCTCTTTAGCTTAAATTTAACTAGCTCTTTCTCTTCTTTTGCTTTTATAGCTAAATTAATAATTATAAGAACATCATCCGTTTGTAAAGCAGCTATTCTTAACTAATCTTTATTAATTAATATAAAGAAGCAAGAATTAAAGCTCGATTGCTTTATCTCGAAGTTGTCCGTAAAATGCTTTAAAAAACGCTTATACTAATGCGTTCTTGCTTTAAAGATGCCGTATAAAAGGCTAGTCATAAAAAACAAAGTGCCGGAAAGGAATCGATAAATGATTTCCTTAAGTGATCGCACGACGATTATTCGTATAAGCTTCGTGCTTAATTAAGTGTAAGCTTAAATAATATCTTTGCTATAGACTTGATACTCGTAGTCTTTTATTAAAGAAAGAGCTAAAGCATAACAGAGTCTTTAGCCCGCTCGTTGCATCGTAAGTGATTCGATAAGTACTTTCGTTTTGCTCTTGTTTTAAAAGGCTTAGACTATTATACGAAACTTTTCGTATAGCGTAAGTGTTCTTTTGCTTTTGATCTTATTAACAAACTTAAATCCGAAGATCTTAGCGCTTTTAATACGTAAGTCGATGCTCGAGATTACTTAAAGAATGCTTTGAGCTATTAATCCTGCTAATTCTTTTGCTTTAGACTTTTAAAACGGTGCTCCGAAGCTTTTAATGATTCTTTCGGCTCGTAGCTTAACTAAGAGCTTATAGTCCCGGCGTTCTTTGTCGATAATAAACACTTCGAAGTCCTTAATGAATAAAACGTAAAAATCGCTCTCCTTTTCGTCGAGCACGGTCGAGATACTAAGATCGTACTTCTAGTAAGGTATCTAGACTATAAGTATTATTGATCTCTGGGAATTAACAAGTTAAAAGTTAAAGGCTGATCTTAGCGAGCTTTTTAAATTAAGCGAATGTTGAGGTTTAAGCGAATTTCGTAGTTCCAGTTCTTTTTCGCCTTCGTCGCTTTTACTCTGATCTTCTTCCACCTCTGCTTTAAGTACTTGCAACTCCTCTGGCAGCTTTTCAACTTCAAAGTAATAAGGTTTTATTAAGGTTGACTTGAATTCCGTAAGTTTCGGACATGCTATTGTATACGTATGCCTTTGCTTGTTAAGCAGCTGAAAAGGGCCCTTTTACCTTTGGTTTTCCCGCTACACGAGCACCCGTAAGCTAATAAAGAAGTTTAAGGTATGCTCCGTAATTAAGCCATTCCTCTTCTTAAGCGCGTCTTTAACTTGCTTCGCAGCGTAGCATTTTCGTACTTCTTTCATAACCTTGTTAATAGCAGCAGCACGCTTTTAAGTAAACGCGGCAAGTCGATTTTGCTTTGTCAGCTTCGATAA